GGCGTTTTGCGAAACGTTAGGCTCTGAGATAAAGTGTTTCACTAACAACCTGTAACGGCATACAAAAGAAAAGATGCATTAAACAGTGCCAAGGTTCATAATAAGTGAACATAAGAACTGCTTTACAACAAAATTGAGATAGTACTCGGAAATTCTAGGAACTATCACTGCTGCACAAGTTGGACGAGGCAGACTTTAGTGCTTGCTTTAAGCATGAATTGTACAATGCTTCGTATACCAATATTATTTCTATAGTTATTGTTGTTATAGTTTTTTTCTTCATAGCTGAAGGATGACGTAAGGTCACTGCACTTATTTTGTGAAATCTTTTGCGCAGAATGCGAAATTTTGAGTTCTTTTTTGATTTTAGATACTATGGCAATGGTCTCTATGGAACGTTGTGGTGCTATGACGATCCCTCTTCTAATTCATTAACCACTTCTTATTTTTTCATAGTCATGCCTGTCTAGCATTTCCAGATGTATGTGAAACTCTCTATAAGAATGAGCACGCCTGATAGGGAAAAGATACTTGGTCGAAATGGCCATTCAAACGAGATTTATATCATCAGAAACAGTTTGCAATTAAGATTTTTAAACGTTCTTCATTATCCTCTTAATGATGTCCTGAGAGGATTTGCAACTTTTTTTTCGACTCTTAATTAAGTACGAACAGCATAGCTTGAGAAGTAGGACGTATTTGGCGCAGTGTCGCGATGAAACACGTAGCATGAAGTTCGTTCCTTTTCTATACCCATCATTTGTTTCCATTTTCTAAAAATGTTTTGATTGCGAAGAGGTTATCACGCGCTTCCATTGATGTCCACTAGTGTTTGATGCAATCTCTAGAATTTTGTGTTTCCGAGAACCAGCTTGAAGTCGTTGTCTAGACAGCAATTCGTTCACTGGCCGCAAAATTGAAGCATTCAAATCCTACTGAACCTCGTCTGGTAAGGTTACTTATCATGCTAATCACAAAAATTACATTTATTTCCATGATAGAGCACTTTAATACGGAGAGTAAATGGAGGGAGCAAAACCAAGAAGCTGACTAAAAGATGAGCTGGTGTGATTATTTGACATGTACCAAATCAATGCGCAGCCTTTCTAAAAATGTGCACGAGTTACCTAGGTATAGCAAGTGTGCAATTTTCCACTTGAAGATTTGGATTGAGGAAGACTGAAGTTGGACATATAAAACCCCGCCGTGACTCCCTATGCTTCTGACCTTCTTCTCTGTCTACCGTAAGCCGAGAAATTCTACTGCAATGGGCGTATAGGAAGGAACAAAATGTATCGCCAGACTCTTTTTAGTCAAGCTCGTGTTGCCCCCTACCGTCTATCGACTGTGACTTTGGAGGCTCTATATGAGATTGGCTGTGATTTTTGCCATGTATCAAGTAACCTCGTTAGGCGAAGTTTCAGTGAAATCAGACTTTGAGGTCAGTAATGCGAACTATTGCCCAGATAACTTCAGCATATGGCTAATTTTTGACAATTGGATGACACACAGAGCTGCCTTAAGCGCCAATTTATAGTATTAAGTAGAAGTGGTAGCAAACCTAGAGGCACTCACTTTGGAGATACTGAATATAGTTTTTAAATCACTTCTAAATTGACTGGTGTGAATTATTTCATTTTGAATAGTCACTTCGATGAGATCCCCCCTTTAGAACTCATAACAAATCACTCGCAACCTTAGGTAATAGGGGCAAAACTTACAAAATGAATTTAACTGCGAGATTCTTTTATTATTCCTGTTCAGGGTCAATTTTTTGCTTGAAGAAATATGCGAAGACCTGAATCCACATCTTGCAGAGTTGTTTTCTAGAAAATGGTGAGGTTCAAAAGCATTACTGGGCCTTTACAGCTTTTCACTTCTCATTAACTCTACCTCACAGGCTCGTAGGCTGTTCGGCTATTGAAACTATATGCATAACTGTCCAAGATTACTACGCTGACCATCGTCATCTTCGACCTGCCACTCGATGTGCCCTTTTAATGGACTTACAGTTCCGAATAGTTGGCGAATATTTAAGAGCCATCGATTCTCGGTATATCTCGTCCTTCTACTGTAGACTGCTGTACTGAAACTGTCTGTTTTCCAGTCGCCTCACATTTGCAACATATGAAGAGCGAGCTGCTGCAGGTTTTCGTATGAAAGCGGACTCTACGCGACTTGAAGCGTTATTCCAGCAACTGCTTGATACTGGGGATATTAATGAGCCTGTAAGTTCGATCTGTGAGTTTTTAGCTTTGTTTATTTGCAACTCTGCAGTTTTCTCTCGTAACATCTCTGATCGCGGCCTGCGGCGATGTGATTAGCCTCCGTGACAAATCGCTACTCACGTTGGAAGTGACAACATTTAGCAGAAAGTATCCAAACATTCCTCTGGACCTGCTCGCTGCTTTACTCGCAAGTCGTGACGATGTCTCTCGAAGCGAAGCAAAGTGCTACACTTTATGCCACCTGTGCACTACCTATATGTACCATTTTGTTGATTTCCAGATCAATGGCAGATGATGTGATGTCTCACGTACAGTTCCACCCAAAAGATCGCGTTTTGGATCAGCTCTTCGCTTCAGTTGTTGGGCGAAGTGATTCAACGTCGTGGAAGCCCAATCTCGACATGATGAACATGTTGTCCGCATTTATGCGAAGGGATCAGCCCCAATCCTAAGTCACAAATTGATTGAACCTTTACATAATAAGAGAAACAGTTTTTTCTTCTTAGAAAAA